TCTTCCAATATTGTCCTACTAACAGCCTCGCAGCTGTAATCAAATTTAACATCAATATAACCTCCTTTGTATCACAATCAATAACTATACCTAACAAAAATAATTGTGGAGTAAATTTTACCCTCCTTTTAAAAATTCTCTGGATATTCCACCATATCTTAATCCAGAATGCTTTTATCTCTCTGCACGACCACCAAATATGATAATAAGTAGCGTCCATACAACCACATCGCCAACATTTAGGTTGTAAGTCAGGGTACATAAAAGACATTTTTTGTGGATCAAGGTGCCATCTTTAAAACATTTTATAAAAATTCTCCCTTAAGTTCTGTGCTTGTGTAAATTTGACATTTCTCACCCAAATAGTTTCCCAGGTGTCCAATGGAACTGGCTCGCCAAAATTCTGCGTCCATCTAATCATACAATCTTTAATTAGTTCCGTTTCTGAATCCAATTCAACTAAAACCCCATAAATTCTCTTAATGTGGGTTTGTCTTTGATCCTTCACTTGCTTAATAAGATTTTCATCTTCTCTGAGAAAACCCACCTTACAGTCCATCTTCCATCTATCTGATAATTGCCTATATTGGAACCAAGAATAAATAATATTTTCTTGTGCTAACTCTTCCCGTGATTTTAACTGCCAGTTTTGTCCATCCCATTTAAGTAACTGTCTATAAGACACCATATCCTTTTTAACCCCTCTTTTTATTCCTTCTATTGCATGCCAAGGTATAGCCCATAATGGTACTTTGAAATCACTTTTATAATATTTTCTCCAAACCCTAAGTAAAGAAGTTCTTAAGATATGAGATTTAAAAGCCCAATCCATTTTTTTTATTAAATATTAAATAGGCATGCCACCCAAAAAGTAGATTCCATCCCTCTAAGTGAAGTATATCAGAATTTGTCAAATTTACCGAGGCCCAGGCTGGACGTTTGACCTGTGCTGCCCAGGGCTCCGAGCAACCCGCACCACCATCCAGCCCTCCCCCGCATGGCCTGAGAGGAACAGTGAGGCTCCTCCAATGGACCATGCCTTGGCACTTGCCCTGGTCCCGCCCCCTTCTGCCAGAGACCCTCAGATCTGTCCCACTCCTGCCCAGGCCCCCACAGGCACCCTTGACATGAATGTAGAGCTGGCCATGCCCACCCAGTAGGCTGCACCCACCCTGGCCACACCCACCCAGCCCCCTGAGGGCAACTGCAATGCTGATGCGGCCCTCAATGAAATTGAGTTTGACACCCCTGTTTTAGAGGCACATAATTTAAATTACTAGTAATTAATTCAGCTTATTTTTTATCCCAACCATGCAACTCTTTGAAGCTTTTTTGATAGATGTAAACTACACTTACCAAACACACCTGCAGACACACAAATATGTCATATGCACATGTTCACTGAGGAGAGGAAGGACTGATTTTAGTTAAAGTTGGCAATCTAGTAGGAAAGCTAGAGTTTTCACAGGACTTTACTTATACTGTGTTTCCTGGCCACATGTTTTGAGGGAAGGGCAGAGCTCATAAAATTGGGTTTGCCTTTGTTCTGGGGAAATAACAGTAGATGTCATTCTTTCCTAAATTGACAGGTTTTATGCTGCCAATGGTTCTGGCAGCTGTTCTCAACCACAGTTGCAACTTGGCCTGATGGTGGCATACTTGAGTTGCCTCTCTGTCCTGCTTACATTACTCCTGTCTGGTCTTTGCATGTATCTGGTCAACCCCATACAGTGTCTAGCTTGCGATCTTATAACTACCGAGACTTTCCCATTAATAGAACTCTAAATATTTTATTTCTTATGCTTCAGTATTGTTTTATTGCTAGTAAAGTATTACTAATTATTTCGAATGAACTGTGAAATTGAGCAAATACTTTAATTAAGAAGTGTTTAAAGTGTTTGTGCCTCAATTAAATGGACTCCTCCCAGCAGACTTTAGGTACAGCATATCCAATTTCCATGTAATCTTATGACATCTGTGGTGATTGATGTTATTTATACCATGATGTAAAAGACCATGACAATGTCCTTGCATGTTGAATAAATAACTTGAGAATAATGGACAGCCTCTTCACACATATGGTCCATGATTAAGAAATAAGTGACTATTATTTAGTTCTCTTAGACAAAACTTACCATGATAATTTTATAATTAATGCTACAGAATGTGAGTGGGGTCTAAATTTTTGATTTCATTTTTGAATTACAGATGGTTTAATGCATTTAGCATTGGCACAAAATGATCTGCAGTTTTTCAACAGCTATATGAGAGATATTGATTTCCTCTTATATACCAAAATAATGCATCACAGGTGTACAAGGTTTGGGTCAAGGAATTATTTTCTATTCCTTAATCAGTTTGACTATAAAGTGACTGGACTCTTGATGAATACTCAGTGACCTCTGGACCGTTTGTGATAGTCAAACATGTGATAGTTGAAAATTGTCAAGGAATTCATGAAACCTGTATTGTAAACTTTAAGTAGACTTCAAAAGAAAAAGAAATCTCTAGTCCCTTTCCAACAAAGCCAAGAAAATAATGGCTGCTCCCACATAAATGCTGTGACTTGTTTGCCCTGCATCATTGTCCTGATGTAAACCAAGGAAACACTAAATGTGGCTCTTATGTGCAAACAGGTGGCTTAGTTTATCGTGAATATTTTGTTCAGGCTTTCAGTGAAAGATTCTACTAGAATGATGTGGGAAGCTCCATTAATTAAATGTATATGCTGCTCACTCCACTGTTGCAGCAACTCTGGCTTGCAGGGTGATAGAAATAAAATACAACACAATTAAAATTAAGAAAGATTAAATAAAGACTAAAAACCAAAGGACTGGTGATTTGGGCGTTGGGATCTTCTCTCTATCCCATCTGCCATCCCCAGAATAGAGCACCATTACTGGGTGCCCCAGACCCGCTGGCAGAGCCAGGTTTAAGGCTCTTTTGGAAAGCCAAGAGGGTGGGGGTGACCTCACCTCTGGAGAGAATATTCCAAAGGGTGGGGGCCACAGCAGGAAAGGTTCTCTTGGACTCCAGTTGAAATTCTTTGGCGGAAGGATCTGAAGTAGGCTTCTTCCACTGGAGTGAGACAGCTCCTCAGATTATTCCATTTCTGTTGATTCTTTTCTGTCCATGTTTTTCTTTATACTCTGAAATTACAGAGAAAAATTGTTGAGGTTTACCTTTGCAAAATCCATAGGGATTCCTTTTCAACAAGAATTGTGCATGTAAAGGCTTAATAAATACATACATAAATACATACATATTAACCAGTTTGTCCCAAACAGATACACTTAGCCTGAAAATCCTCCTACGCTTCTTTAAAACTCTAGTACCAAAATTGCTGCTTCCAGTTCTTTGGTAAAAGTGAAATAATTTGATTAGACCAGACATTTTTACTTTTGAGTTATTTAAATATTTTCAAATGGAGTCTATCTGGATCTGATGGTTTAACTTTCTACAGTTTGGATGTGTGTGTGCATAGCCAGTTTCTGTATTTGAACAACACGAACACACACACACACACACACACACACACACACGCACACATATACACACAAACCCTTTCTTATATACTGTACATTACCTTATAATGTTTGTAGCCCTCAATTTAATTAGCTGTGCTATTTGTAGAAACCCAACTTCATTATTTAAAGGTCAGCATTAAGAAATTAAAGTGAAATCTGATATTAAATGCATTTTAATGTGTTGAATCATTAATATGTCATAGATTGGTATAAGAAATATATTTAGATTACTTGCTTTGGATGGTCAGTTTATGTTATTTTATTAAGTGTTATTTTATGACCATGTATTTAAGATAATAGTTTAAAGTAGAAGAAATTTTACATACGAGTCTTATTAAAGAAACTTCTATACTGAGACATAAAACTTCTTAGTATTGTTTTAAGTGGGAATGGGTGTCTTATATTGATTTAGAAAGAAGCAGTTTTGGGAAATGCAGGACGATAGTGGGATTGGCATTTCTAATGAGTGGTTGTAAAAAGGATCTAAGTAATAAGGAAAGTATAACCTACTTTAGGGGGAAAAGGACATATTTTTTGAAGGAGAAGGTATGAATTGTCAAAATATCTCTTTGGTTAGAGTGATTGCTTACATTTGCTGTTTTTTTTGTTCAAATTTCTGGACAAGATCAGTCATTGTACTCCATGCTTGTAGTAGACTGTCCCTGTAAACTATAAGGATAATTATAGCCCTTTCTCTCTATACATTTTGCTGCCCTCTGAATTCTTACCCACAGTTTTTATTGGCATCATCGAAGCTTTGCTGAGATCAATAAATACACTTGTGTGTAAATGAAAGGAAGAATGGAGAATGCGTATATTGTTAGTCTCCAATGCATCTCTGATTGAATCGACATTAACTTTTTTGATCCATTGTAATAAACAGACCATAATGCATTATCCACCAGTACATTAAACCTTACTGGGAGAGTGAACGCCTTTTTAATTGTTGGCGTTCATGCAGTAAAAGGAATATTATAGATGGATGATGGGAAAAAATGAAGTGGAGAAATTGATGGGAGAACAAACTTATATAAGGAAAGTGGAGGGAATGTGGAATACTGTTAAAAGAGACTCTAGAGGCTCCAGAGCAAGAGAAGGGTCAACATGGACTGAATGTATCTACTTGAGAAAGACTAAAAAGAGAAGTGGAGTAACGAAAATGGAAGACAGAGAAATATGAAGGAAAAAAATAGATAATTGAAATCTTGCTGTGCAGACGTAGGAATGTGCTACTGGGCACAAAAAAGAAAGGAGACCGTTAATAAAATATAAGTTAGATTTGTCTATAGGAAAGGAGATGTCCTGTTTCCCTTCCAGTCATTATTTTTGTTTCTAATCTTATTGCTAGAGCAAAATTGTGACAATATTAGAGAATCATTGTTGAGTTAAACACTCCCAAGTGAAATTTTCTTGCCTTCAAGCTAATTTTTATAAATTGTGTATTTATGGACTTCTGATATTTTAATTTGGCAGGGACAACCAGTTGGAGAATGTGATTTTAATATTCGTCTGTCATGTATAGAAAAAGAGATTATACTCCCACGGCATGATAAAATGAAGAATGGTCAAATTGACAAAGCACAAGAGCCTTTTAGTGTTCGTAACAAACCATTTTTTGACATCCACGTTGCAAAAAAGGTAAACATACTCTTGATATCTGCTGAATAGTAATTTTCTTAGCATATAATGCTTCAAGCCTTACAAGACTTTCCTGAATTTAAACATATGCTTTTTAAAGTTTGTGTTTGTGTGTGTGTGTGTGTGTGTGTGTGTGTGTGTGTGTGTACATGTACATGTACATGTAGAAATAGAAATAGCTTTTCAATAGATTCCAGTTTCTAATTATGCTTTTTATTCTCAGAAAAGTGCAGGACTAAATCAGGCATGCAACTAAGTCAGATCTCTTAATGAATAACATTGCCAGTTATTTTCTGAGAAAATGTTTCTTTCCTCAAATTCTCAAGGAAAAAGCAAGGGGCCAAGAATAAAGCCACACATAGCAGAGTGTGAATGAGGACATCTAAAATGTCCTTTAGTGAGTATTTAACTGTCAGCAGCTTTGCAAAATTCTTGTCTAGGTTGGGAAATAGCAAAAATAAATGTTATTTCATAAATAACATGAATAAATCTCCTTATTAAAGCCTGATTATAGGGCAAGAATCAGGCCTGGAAAGATTGAACACAGTCCTTTTATGTATTATATGGCCTCTGCTGACCTAATGATCCTGTTAATCAAGAGACATGCCAGATTGATGTACTACTTCACTTGCTTTATTAAAAAATGTATAGTAGTATGTGCTGATTTGCATTTGTTCTTATTTATTTGTTTCCACTATGATATACTTAAGAAATGAATTACTGTTCTATTGATACTTGTAAGTTCATATACAAAACATAACTTATTATTTTATCATTCACTAAATGTCAGTCTGGAAAACTTATCAACATGGGCATACAGCTCTGCTTTATCATTTCAACTGGTAAATGCTTCAATGAATAAGAGCTTTTCAGTCTGAAATTAAACTCATTAGACAAGCAATAAACCTTTCAGTTAATGGAATCACGAAGTCTTAATACACAAAATCTGAATGTTTTGTGCTCTCTAACAGAAGTATCATTTCATTTTTCATTTTTTCCTTCTGTGTTAGTAACAGTTATGTAGTATAGTACTTACGCCAAAGCCTCCTTTATAGTCTATATGACTATATTTTCAGTGGTCATTAGATTTCCAGATGTTTCTGGAAAATGAGTCCTGTCCTATAATAGTATATGTTAAACTTAATTAATATATGAGGAAAATATAATAGCTAATGATTTCTAACACTAAATATATTCAAGTTGGGCCTGCACTAAATTTATTAAGTATTTTGCCATGGCAGATAGTTACGTCATGCAAAGTGCTTTTGCTAAATTTTATTTAGTCAGACATACATTATCCAGAAGAATTCCATTCTTTTATCCCAGGGTAAACCCTTTCATGATGAATAGACTTTTCGTTCCAGGATTCTCAGCATCAGCACTAGCCTTTCTAATTGGGAATTAATGGGTGGAACTATAGATGCCAAGGGTCCCCATTCATGGGAAAATCATGTTATCCTATTTTTCTTACCATCAGTCATAAGTCTTTGAGAGATGCAGTTTTTATATTGAAGAGTTCTAAAGGGTCTTCCCACACTTTTTTCCCCTCTGTATTTTGGCCTCCTGCAAACTTTGGGTTTTGCTGATGCCAACTTGTATGCAGATGTGTTGTTTAGCTAAATAAGTTTGTGTTTTCTTCTGAACCTTAGAAACAGAGAAAATGATAAGAACTTCAGAGTAAACAACAATGTTCAGTGGCATTTTAATACTGAATCGTTTAGTAGAGTCTGTTTAATCAAAGTGCATTGCACAAGAGGCTTTTCTGTTTTTCCCATGGAAATGGCGCCTGATCATGAACCATATAATTAATAGTGAGAAAGTTGAATTTTGTGCTTGGATTTAAAGATTGCCATTATGTAATTATTCTTTAGTAAGCATTAGTCACTTTCTTATTATTTATTGCTGTAACTGCAGATTTCTGTCTTGCTGCATATTTATAAATCCATCTAGGAAGAATATATTTGGTTACCTTATAAGACTAAGAGAAGAAATAGGGTAAGGGACATGGGACTTGAGGAAGAGGTAAGCAAACTGGATCTGCCTTCTGTTCCCACATTTAATATTTATATAGTTATTTTCTGAAGTTTTGCTCATCTCTAGAAAGTAATATTGAACTGTTTTCCATCCTCTTATCCTAGTAGAGTAGGGAGTTTTGAAATAATGATATTTCAGACTTGAAATTAATAATAATTGGTAGAGGATGGATTAGTATTTTGCCATTGTAAAATGAAAATGTGCTAAACATTGAATAGAACAAAAAATACATTAGAAGAGACAAGAAGAAATATGTGTTTATTGAACTCACTGACTTCTATAGCTAGAGAGAGGAATAGTTGACACCATCTGGAGCTATTACGCTGCCAAAATCATGACCCCCCCTCCTTCCTTTGTTTTATTTTCAGTTTTGTTTTTATTTTCTAGTCCACCAGTAAGTCTGAATCACTTATATCAGCCCTGTATTTTCTGCCAGAATTGACATAGCATTATTTTCTCTGCCTTTTCTCAGCTCCATCTGTTCATTCTCATTTTTCCCCTATTTGTCACTACCTTCTACTGTTGTCTCTCCTCCCTATGCCTTCTCTGTTTTGCATTGTCATTTCTGCTATCTCCATTTCCTTGGAAAAATACCTAGTAGTATTCATTTCTTTTGCTTTTATCACTGTTCTCTTCTTTGCCTTGTTATTTCACTGTTTTTGTTTTTTTCCCTATGCATTGTAAGAACTTGTTTCTTAATTTCAAGTCATGCTATGAAACATGATCCTGACTGAATCATGATTAACGCTCATCAAGATGTTGCTTCCAGTTCCAAATCAAAATAAAATACACTAGAACTAAGAGGTTTCGAAGCTGATGAACTGCACATAGAATTTTTTTTTGTTTATTTGTACTACTGGAATCTGCCCCCACTGCTGTTTCTTCCTAGTTGCCCTCCAGCTGCTCCTGTTTCTCTCTCACAGTTCCTTCATTTCCTTTCTTAACAGCTGTCCATACCACCCCTCCATTTATGACTTGAACAATAAACTACACAGTCATAATTTACTGACTGCTGGGATTTGCTTTTTTGGAATACTGCAGATAAGGTTGCTATAGCTGTCAGTTCTTTGGACTGAAAATAAGCACTGAGAGTTGCTTATACAATTTCACTGATGAGTATCTAAAGCCAGACACTATTATACCCTGTTTCTTTCATTTTTGAGGTAACCATGTCAAAAAAAAAGAAGCATTTAAATCAGTTTGTGTGATATTCTATTTTTTTCCCATATATTTTATTGATTTTTTAAAAAACATAAATCACTTAATAGTTGGTAAACAGTGTGTTTGCTGGGTTTACATTTGTAAAGAAAAATCATTAACAATTGGTTTCTATAATCCATAATTTACACAGTACATTTAGTTGATTTTCCCTTTTCCCCAAAATGTCTTCTTTGCAAACCTTGAAATAATACAGTTCTTATTATTTTGATAAATAACAGTTACATATATGATTTTTCCCAATATTCCTAGAAATAATGATCACATCAATATAATATTTCTTTTCTATCTAATCATTCTGGTTGCCTCATCTTATATCCTGTTACAGTCCTTATTTAGATTTGTTTCTCCCATAAAGTTCAAAGTATTCTTGCTGGTTAAGATTTTCTCAACAGATAATTACATTTAAAGATTTAAATCCATTTTTCCCATATAAACCATCTCAACACTTTTACATTTCTTAAAGAATAGGTAAAAACAGTAAAGAAAAGGAAAAAAGAGCAAGAGTAAAGAAACATAAAAAGTAAAATACTACTTAAAATATATATTCCTTCTAAGCTAATATATATTCATTCCCAAAATTTCTTATTCTTTTTAACCATGATTAAAATATTTAATCTTTAAATATTCCATTTAATGTGTCTAGTCATCTAATCCTTTAACTCTTATTCAAAACATTTTTTTTCTTTTTTATACTTTATAATTTCTATAAATTCAGACACATTTAATTATCTAAAACATTTCCTTCATCTAGGCCATTTCAGCAGTATTTTATTACTTATATCCAGAAATAAAATAAAAAGGGGGGGGGAAGTGTACAGTATCATTTAAGGAATTCTTCTCTCTTAGAATGACATATGTATTCAGAATCTTTTCTATTTCTTTAACCATAGTCAAACAAATGTTTGTTTTTAAAATATTCTCTCTGGTAGATCCCACCATCTATTTTCTTAATTTTCACTTTGATCTTTTTCCTTTGACCAGTATCTTTCTTGATCAATGTATTTTGCTGAATCAAAAAGTTTTTCCATATATTCTTGACTGTTGCTGTAGGTATAAGAAGTAAATCGAATAAAGTGTCTCTATGTGAGGCTTTTTCCTTTCCATGTTTCTTGAAAATCTTTTTCTCTTTCTCCTTTTTTGCTTCTCTTATCACTTCCTTTCTCTCTGATGTTTTCAACATCTCTACATTCCATTTTGTTCATTTTGTCCACATATTTATTTTGTAGTCTTAAGGGATGAGTTGTTTTTTTCCATTTCTTGTAAATTTTTCCCCACTAGGATTAAATTATCTTTTCTTGCTTTGTTAAGTTCCGTCTTTGGGTCTCTATTTTCCATTTTATGTCCACTTATTTGTTTTGTCTGCTCCTTCTCTGTTGTTGTTTCCTGGAAGGTTTTTTTTTGTTGTTGTTGTAAAGTTAACTTAGAAATAGATTGATTTGTATTTTCAAAGTTATTTTGGATTTCTTTGTGATTTGAACTCAATTTTATTTGAATTAATTGCAGTATACTATATATCTCCTACTGAGAGGTATTTATGTTTCCTTGGTGTGTTCTGTTTACATGTCTCTGATTCATGATGGCCAAAAGTTGAAGTTTTCCTTCTTATCTGCAAATAGCTTTAGAGTCCCGGTTAAATAGATACCATATATTCCGGTGTATAAGGTGACCCTGTCCCGGTTAAATAGATACCGTATATTCTGGCGTATAAGGCGACCCTATCTTCGGCGCCAAGTCTCATGCCTAGA